ATAGCGAGAGTTTCTGTTTCTTCAATTTCCTGGAGAAGTTTGAGAAGAACTGGCAATACATCTTCTTCCTCCACCCAGATCCCCCATCTTCCAGTATGTAGCGTTACACCTATCAACTGTCCCCGGCACTGTGTAATTCAATCAATGGGAAGACCCAAGACTATAAAACCCTACTTTCAGAAGTGCATGGCCGCATTTGCGGCTGCACAATATATTATTATCTACTTCTAACCCTGGAGAATCTAACTGGGTACCAAAAATATCCTGTCCACACGGCAGAGTCTGGCAAACTCCCCGTGGCTTATTCAATATGCCAAAAACCAGTAACAATGATGAGTCTCATTTTCCTGACCCTGAAAGAGCCTCAAATATGGCACTTCTTGAAATCTCAGGGCTAGGATGAAGGAGACATTACTGGGGCCTGCTCGAGGCAATTGATGAACAACAGGATGACAGTGATACAGTGATAAAGTCCTGTACAGATTTATTAGCCCTCGCTTTTCTATTTCTTCCTTCAGAGCTATTATTTCCTTGCTGAGTTTTAATCTTCTTGATCTATCCAGAGGTGATAAGGTGGTACTGAAGTCTCCAAGTACTATTGTGTTGCTCTCAATGTCCTTAAGGTCTGTTAGCAGATGTTGAAGATATTTGACTGGTCCCTCATTGGATGCATAAACGTTTAGGAGTGCGATTTCTTCCCGCTGTACATATCCCTTTATTAACAAAAAATGGCCTTCACTGTTCCTTCTAATCTTTTTCTACCTGAAATCTATGCTGTCAGATACTAGTAAGACCACTCCAGCTTTTTTGAGAAGTTTGTTTGCTTGCAGGATTGTTTTCCATCCTTTGATTTTGAGTCTGTGTTTGCTCTGACTGTTCAGGTGTGGTTCTTGTAGGCAAAAGAATGTTGGGTTCTGTCACTGAATCCATTTTGTCACTCTGTGTCTCTTGATTGGTGAATTTAGACCTTTGACATTGAGAAAGAGTATTGTCATGGGTTTTTGTGTCATCTTTCTGTAAGGGTTTGTTGTGCTTGTACGGGTTTATCTTGTCTTACAGTAGCCCCTTTAGCCCTTCTTTTAGGTTTTGTTTTGAGTATATGAAGTTCCTGAGCTGTTGTTTATCCACAAAATAGTGTATCGTTCCTTCGAGTTTGAGTGAGAGTTTGACTGCATAAAGTATCCTTGTTGAAGTGTTCATTTCATTGAGTTTTTTCACTATATCCCAATACTGCCTTCTGGCTTGGAGGGTTTCCTCTGATAGGTCTGCTGTGAATCTATGGGGTGCTCCTTTGTATGTGATTTCCTTCTTTGAACTTGCTATTTGCAGTATTGTGTCTCTGTCTGTGGCACCCATCATTCTATGATACGTCTTGGAGTGTTTTTGTTAGGGTCTCTTTTAGCTGGCACCCTTCGAGCTCCTTGAATTGGGATGCCTGCATTGTCTAGCTCTGGGATCTTTTCAGCAATTATTTCTTTAACTGTGGATTTTTCATTGGGGTTGCTTCCCTGACCTTATGGTACCCCAATTAGTCTTGTATCATTCCTCCTGAAATCATTCCCTAGGACTCCGATTATCTCTAGAGCTATTTTGAGGTCTCTTCCCATTGTTTGTTGTTGCCTGTAGGCTTTCTGCAGCTCATCTTCCAGCTCACTGATTCTATCTTCAGCTGTAGTCATTCTACTATTGAGAACACACATTAAGTTTTTTATTTCATCTACTGAATCCTTTATCCGTGACACTTCTGTGCATAGCTTTTCAGTTTCTGCTCTCATTTCTTTCTGTAATTTCTCTTTTCTCTGATCCTTTGTTTCTTCCATGTTCTCCTTTAATTTATTGGACATCTGCCCCACCATTTCTTTTAGTTCATTGAATATCTTCAATAGTTCATCTCTGAATTCTTTATCGGAGAGCTCACATTTGTAAATAACGCCTGTTGATGCTTCTGGACTCTTTTCATTGTCCTCTTCTCGTGGTGGGGATTTGCGCCATTTCTTCATGTTGCTTTGATGTTATGGAGACTGATATGTGACACCAGATTCCTGGGTATGGGAAAAATAACTGTGGCTTCATGAACAAACAGCAACCCCCAGAAATGCCACGCCCACTTCTGCAAGGCCACTCCCCCTGCCGGACCTGGGAAAGGGAGAAAACTGGCCAGGGTATTGGGGACAACGAGGGTACAATAACTTTTAAAATGAAAAATCCTGCACCAGTTTATAGTTACTCTTTCATAGTTGACTAAAACTAGTAACCAAATATTTTTTTTCTGTAGAGGAACTGATAAATCAGATAAATTAGACAATAAAATTTTATCCAGAACAAAAAAGGAATGAACTATGAGGACATGAAAAACATGGTAAAACTATAATCTATATTTCTGTTTTGTCATCTTTCTAAACTAATACATATTTCTGTTTCATACTTTATGTTACAAGTCATCCATGTTTATAAACCAGTTTGTAAAGGTATCATGTTCTTTGATTGCAACTGTTTGACACTCAGGAAAAGTCAAAACTAGAGAGTAAAATGATTGAGGAGTAGTGTTAAAGGGAGAAGATGAAATGAAAGAGAACAAAGGACATATTGAGCAATGAAACTATTCTCTATGATTCTCTAATGATAGAAACATTGCAATACATCTTTGTCTAAACCCATTCAATATAAAACATTATGGTAAGCTAAAGGAAAACTATGAATTTTGAATGATTATGCTATATCAATATAGGTTTACCAATTATAGCATCTATAACATCATTGGTAGAAATGCATGATGCAGGAAGCTATGCATGTGTGAAATCACAGAGTATATAAGAAACTTCTCTACCCTCATCTCAAGTTTCCCATGAACCTAAAAAACTCTGAAAAGTCATTTTTAAATAGTAAATGTAACAAATATTTTATCGTTTGTTATGTAACAGATATTTTTTAATCAGGAATGATTCCTGCAATTAACAAAAATTGAATTTTGTAGAATATGAAGAAGGCACATTTAAAATATGTGGATATTTTTATAAAAAGGAAAGAAAAACTATCAAAATGTATGGAAAATTAACTGTAGAATTAATTAAAGATGTTATGTTTATCAGGGTATTTCCTAAGATTTATGAACCATTTTAAGTAGAGCCCAATTTTAAAACTGACAAAAATACCGGGCTATATTTTTTAACACAAAAAGACAATATAAAGTGAAGTGTACATCAGAATGAAAAATCCTTATGACAAATTATGGAATGTAATAATACATTAAAAATAGTGTATGTATGAATCAAAGACATGTGGCTCTCTGATTGGGGCAAAACATTCCCCTAAAACATAGCCAAATGTCATTATACTTCAAATGCTGAAGGTAATATTCCAAAATATTGATTAAAAGTCCTATTATTTTCTAATTAAAAACAACTAGAATAAAAATACCCAATTTCTTATATTAAAAACAAAAACAAAACATAAAGCTTTATTGTTTAAAAAATATGTGCACGCAAAAGTAGCTTGGAGTATTTTTTACTAGATAGAAACTTGGTGAAGAAACACTTCTAACCCACTTTTTTCCTGGCATTGAATAACATTAATAATTTATGCTGGGACTGGAACATAGTGCAGGGAATGGTACTTGCCTTGCACATGGTGAACGTTGGTTCCACCTATGGTCCCCCAAACACTCTCAGGAGCAATCCCTGGGCACAGAATCCAGAGTAAGACCTAAGCACAACTGGCCCCACTCCATTTTTCAAGTAAATAGAATAATTCAGTGTAGCAACTCACGACCATCCTGTTATTCTTCGATTGCCTCGAGTGGGGCCCAGTAACGTCTCCTTCGTCCTAGCCCTGAGATTCTTAAAAAAGTGCCATATTCAAGGCTCCTTCAGAGTTAGGAGAATGAGACCCTTCATTGTTACTCGTATTTGGCATATTGGGTACGCCACGGGGAGTTTGCCAGACTCTGCTATGTGGGCAAGTTACATTCGGTAGCTTGCCAGTTTGTCCAAAGTACAAATGAGAAGATAAGATGATAAAACCCGGGAGCTGGGTTTTATAGTCTCTGAGTCTTGGCCATTGATGGGATTACATGGCGCCAGAGGGCCAGTTGGTGGGTGTGACTCCCGCCTACTGGAATTTGGAGGATCTGGGTGGAGGATGCTTAGCCCCGATCCGAGTAGGTTTGGAGATCTCAGCCCCGGGACCTGCGTGCCTTTGTTCCCCTGCCAGTACCTTCATGTGTGTGGAGAGTGGTCTCAGCATGGTGGTGGCTGGTTCTGGAGGTCTTCTGCTGCCAGAGCCCTGATCGGGGCAGGGAGGAAAACTCAACCCGCTTCCCTCCAATGGGCCCCGGTGAGGCAGCAACTCACTGAATTATTTTATTTACAGTGGTAAAAATCTATATTATGAACATATATTTTGAATTGTACAGTGGATTATTAGTATTGTATTTTCAATTAGCATTGCACACACTTTCCATTTTAACATAGATGTTTAATAAATTCTGTTATTGACAACTGTGACTGTTATTATATTGATCTTTACTTCTTTCAAAAACTATATGAGATAGTTTAATGACCTCCTATTTTTATTTTTATAGAAAATAACTTGGAAATAAGTTTCACATAAGATATCGTGCATGAAACAAACTTTAAAATTAGGCCTTGCTGAACTGAATATAGGGCATTATTGTCCCATGTGTTTCATTTTCTCAGGTGTGTATATAACAGATGCATATAAAAGTATTGATTTTATTTTCTCATTCTTTTGTAAATTATTGTTTTATTTAGAATTAAACAGGTTCAGAAAGAAAGTTTTGTAAAAGAAAGTCCTTAAAAAGCAGGCAATTATACTTATTTTTACATGTACTAATCAGTATCCTTTCAAATTCATAATCAAGTGGTATCTGTAATTATTACAGCCTCTTGGCTTGTACATACAATTGAATATACCGGAATGAAGTTGTTTTCCTATTCCTTCTGTACTTATAACTAAGATGAGTTATTTTCCTCCTCATATAGCTTAGTTTTGGAGGAATTCCAGTACCAGGCAAACCAGGGACCTTTTTAAAGAAAAACTTCCATGGATGTATTGAAAACCTTTACTACAATGGAGTGAACATAATTGACCTCGCTAAAAGAAGAAAGCATCAGATCTACACTGTGGTAAGTTTGCTTATTTTTTTCAGTGATTTGTAACATTTTGGAATAAGTTTTGCATTCACCATTCCATGGAGGGATAGCACAGCGGGTAGTCGTTTGCCTTACACGTGGATGACCCAGGTTCGATTCCCAGCATCCCTGAGCATTGCTAGGTATGATCCAAAAAAGCAAAAAAAAAAAAAAAAGAAAAAAAGAAAAATCAACAAAATCTATTTATATGACGCTATTCTGAGGTTCCATCATCCACCTAGGTAAAACTTTAGAGTGAGTTAAAAGGCAGGGACAGTGTGAATTATAGTATTGGGGAAAACAAATGCATTAAAGGTATGTAAAAAATTCTATGTTCTTTGTTGTGAGTTGTAAGCCAAATGGAGGTAGGCATTGTGTACTACACTGAGCTAAAATATATGTCTTAATTACCTCTAGGAGATGTAACAAAGAAATCATAAATTTTAATGCTTAAAATTGTTTGTGAATTAAATATTTGCCCACTTATTGTTAATAGTACAGTGTATTTCCCATAAAATATCTTTCTTTTTCATATTTAAGATCTTTAGCTTTATGTTACAAATATTTTATATTTATTTTTTAATTAGCTACTGTGACTTACAAAGCTATTAATGATAGAGTTTAAACCACAGATCTCAGCTTCAAACCTGCAATCATATTTAAACTTTAGGTTTGTTAGAGATTATCTTTTTAGTATTTCTCATACTAGCAAGTTATGCAGATTAATGAATATTTGTCCTTCCCAAAATTCTGAGGTTCATGATGAATAGGATTGTCTTTCTCTTTCACTATTGCCTTTACAATACCTAGTCTTGTATCTATTTTATACTAGATGCAAAGTATGGTACTAATTTTTCTAACTACATTTGTCTATTTGTCTATCTCTCCTTCAATTTCTATTAGTCTTTCTTTGGGTCTTTTACAGTTCTATTGTTTTGTTATGCAAATTTAAGATGGTCAGGTTTTCCATGTAAATTGGACTTTTATCATTGCAAAGTATTCTTATTGAATGATTAATTTGAAGTCAAATTTAGTTGATTTTTAGATAACCACTTATATCTTCTTTAAGAAATATTTGCAGGATTTTTTAAATCTAGCTTTTCATTTTAACCTTCCTAAATCATTAAATTTGAAATACATTTCTTTCAGGAGAACTAAAGAATGTTGTTATGCTTTTAGCCCATTCTGTCAAGCTTTGTGTCTTTCAATTGGTGTATTTAAATAATATGCATTTGATGTATTTAAACCTTTCACATTCAATGTTAATGCTAATGTACTGTTTTTGTTTTCTATTTTCCCATCAGAATATTTTAAAAATGATATTAAAGGATATTTTCATGTGTATAATATTAAAACATTTTGTTCGGGCGCTCTTCTTTAGGGGCTGGAGCGATAGCACAGCGGGTAGGGCGTTCGCCTTACAAGCAGCCAACATGGCCGACCCGAGTTCGATTCCTCCGCCCCTCTCGGAGAGCCCGGCAAGCTACCAAGAGTATTCGATATGCCAGACACAGTAACAACAAAGTCTCCAATGGAGACGTTACTGGGCCCGCTTGAGCAAATTGACGATCAACGGGAGGGGGAAAAAATGTAAATTTTATTAATGTTGTTCGGTATTATTTTACACGCACATAGTTTGGTATTAGTTTTTTGCATTTCATTACATTCAGTAAAGTATAAGAATCCAGTATTTCTTTGTATTCCTTTTAGTATCCTTTTTAATTATGTAATTATCTTAATTCTTCTCTTATCTTTGTACATTTAGAAAAAGGTAACTTGGAACTGGAGAGATAGCACAGCAGGTAGGGCGTTTGCTTTGCACGCGGCCAACCTGGGTTTGATTCCCAGCATCCCATATGGTCCCTTGAGCACTGCCAGGAGTAACTCCTGAGTTCAGGGCAAGGAGTAACCCCTGTGCATCGTCACGTGTGACCCAAAAAGCAAAAAAAAAAAAAAAAAAAAAAGGTAACTATTTTTGTTTTTGCTAGAAAACTTAAATCTTCAAAAACCTCAAAGAAATGGGACTTTTATTGCATTTATTACACTTTTGTACATTATTATTCTTTCTTTCGACTAGTTGATTTATTTCATAATTTCTGCTTAATTTACTTTTACTATGTATTTGCTGGTGACAAATACTGCTATCTTTTCTTATTATTTAGTAGTATGACACAGCTATCTTATTTGAAAGATATGTTCCCTGGATATAAGATTCCAGGTTAACAGTTGTTTTCTTTCAGCACTTGAGAAATCCTGGGCTAGTTTTTCTAGCCTCTGTGATTTCTGGTAAAAAATTTGCTTTCTGAAATCAATTTCTTCCAATATGTTTTGATATATTTTCACTGTTTCAAAATCTCTTCCTTTTCCTTAGTTTTCAGAAAGTTGATGCATAATATGTTATCCTGTGGATATCTTTTGTTTTATTTTACTTTCAAAAAACTTTGGAAATGTTCCTATTTTTCTTTAAGTATACACACATACATATGTGTTTTTCTCCTTCCATTTTTTACTTCCATTTTTCTCCTCTCATTCCTGAATTTTATATATGAATCTTTTGGCAAGGCATTAAATTAACACAATTCAAATATTGTTCTTTTGGGGAGTCCATATTGTTTGATGTTTAAATCAAATTATTTCTATCAGAGCTTCAAGTCAATATCTATTTTCTTCACTCTATAATCATTCATACTGATTATTTTTAATTTCTAATATAGTGCTTCTGTGTTCCAAAATTTAATTTTGTTCTTTACATAATTAGAACATTTTCTTAGAACATTTTCCTTAGTTCTAAGTAATTTTCTACACTGCCAACATTTTTCTTCCTAAGTATTTTAGTGACTTTTCGTTGTAATTACATTGCCTATCTTTCTTTGCAGTATTTTTGTTGCTGCAATAGACACACCTCAATATGGTACTGACACTTTTTTTGGTAAGGATGTTTGTTGGGCTCACACTTCTGGTTGCAACACTCACATGCTTGACTGGTAATTCCTGGGGTTCCCACTCCGTTCAGTGCATATAATCTGTTTTGTCCAGTAATGCAATTCTTTTTATTTCTGCTGCGCAAGCATATTCTGCTTATTGTGCTCACCAGGAGTTGCTATTATTGTCATACATATTCTTGTCAGTAATCAAACTTCCTAGTTTTAAGTTCTTACATCTCTGATTGCATGTTTACATGCACATAGCTGCAGTGTAGATGAAAACACTTGTAGTGCTAGCAATTACATACAGTAAATTTACCAATCACAAACAGCAGAGCCTTGAGACTACTCTCAGTGCATATGTGGAAGTGTGCATTGAAATCTTGACCATATGCTTGCAAGACAGATGCTCTAAGCCATTGAGTTACCATCTGGGTCCTGATTATTTCAGTTATTTATGGATAGTTTTTATTTTTTGTTTGTATCCAATGTGCAATTGTCCCATGAAGGATTTTTATCAAAATAAATACTTTGTCAGGTAACTCTAACATGTCTTACCTCAGATTTGGCATCTACTAGTTATCTCTGACATTCTATTTGATCCCCCCACCTTTTATTTTTTGCAAAACTTTTTTTTATTCTAACTTGAATATTTTTGGTCTGTTATGTTATGATACTATTTCAAACTTTTACCTTTAGCTATTTTGTTCTGACACTATTCTGTTAGGGGACAGTATTTTCCTTAACACTTCATGATGGAATAGAATTCAGGTTTCACGCTTAATGCAAAATGACCCCCAGGACAGGGAAGCTCCTTTTATTTCTAAGCAAAGAAGGGCAAGAACTATGACTCTATGCTATTTTTTTACTCTTACTTTCCTATCTTAGAATAAGAAAGCTTCAGGATCCCTTTCTTAGCAATGCGGAGAAAGCCCCAAAATTGTTTCCTATATGACTTCTGTCTGCTTGCGAGCATGCATGCGGGCATGTGTGTGTGGGTGGGTGGGTATTTTATGTTGGTGCATCATTGTGATCTCTGACTTTTAGTAAAATTCCTGATTCTACACTAAGCCACTTCTTATACCTTTCATACAGGAAGTAATTCATCCTCTTGATAAAGCTCTAGGTCTCATAAGAAATCTATGTTGTTTTAATATATAACCAGAGACCTGCTATCATCTGATCAGAAGCAAAATTCAATCTAGCTGTTCTGGCAAGGGGACTAAAGTACCTGTTATAATATATTGGAAGGAAATTTGGATATAGTATTTTTCTATTAAGCCGAAATACAAAATCATTACCTGTCTTGCTTATGTTGCTGTTTTCTTGTTTCTAGATCAGAGAACAGATTTCTGGTAGATTTTGTTTGTTTGTACTAGTTTCTTTGGATTGCTGAATTCTTCAACAAATCTTAGAAAATCTCTATTTTTGGGGGGATTCAGTGTTATACTAGAAAATTACTCTCTTCCTTCCACTTTCATATTTTTTTCAATTTCCTTTATATATACTGATTGTGTGTGTGTGTGTGTGTGTGTGTTAGTTTTGGGGGGAATAATGAAAACCACACTCTTCTAACTTGGGACTACATGATTGGCTTTTAATTGACAGACACCATCTAATTCTCTTTGGAATCTTGTCATTGAACCATCTTAACAATCTATGGAATTAAAATGGCTTTGGCATTTACATTTTCCTTAATAACTATAACCTTTAATTTAAATTTGTTAGAATCCCGTATAATAGCATATTTCTAAAAAGTAGGCATTGAATTACAGAATAAAAGTTAGCCTTGTCTGATGGAAATCAGACTTTGATTAAAAGTTATAAATGTTTTGGAGACTGGAGAGATAGTATAGCGGGTGCTTGCCTTGTACTCTTCTGAGTCAAGTTTGATCTCCATACCCTATAAGGTATCCTGAGCCCCACCAGAAGTGAATCTCGCATACAGAACCAGGAGTAAGCCCTGAGCACAACTTAGTGTGACCCAAAAACAAGAAATAAAAAGAATAAACTTAAAAAAAATTTCTATCAATTTCTTTCCCCTAATAATTGCAGTAGGACTATTTTAAG